GGGGGGCTGCTCTTCCTCTCTCCCCGGGCGGGGGGCAGCACCTCTCGCACAGCTCGTCAGCTGATAAACCATCCTGTTAGTCTGTGAAGTGCCGCGCTGTCCTGCAGCTCGTTTTACCTCTCAGGACTTGCAATAGAAGGGTGAGGGCTGGGCCCTGCTCCTGGGCTCCGAGGGACACAAGCCCCTTCACACGTTAAGCAGGGGGGCTGCTCTTCCTCTCTCCCCGGGCGGGGGGCAGCACCTCTCGCACAGCTCGTCAGCTGATAAACCATCCTGTTAGTCTGTGAAGTGCCGCGCTGTCCTGCAGCTCGTTTTACCTCTCAGGACTTGCAATAGAAGGGTGAGGGCTGGGCCCTGCTCCTGGGCTCCGAGGGACACAAGCCCCTTCACACGTTAAGCATCAGGACAGCGATGAGCTGAACTTCCCTGAAAGCATCAGGATACGCTAGGTCTGCCGGGTCATTTTGGCTTTAGCAACAACTGGAGGCTGGCCTGTAGGGTTGCCCAAAACCAAACATCCTTGCCCCACCCCTGTCTGCCCGTCCTCTGATGCCCCGCTCATGCCTTACTCTGTCTTTGAGCGCCTGCCCCTGCTCCCTCTCCCCTCACCTCATTGCTCACTCTCCCCACCCTCACTCACTTGCTCAGAGGGCTGGGATATGGGAGAGGGTGAGGGGTCCAGCTACAGGTGCGAGCTCTTGGGTGGGAATAAAGGATTCAGAGTGCAGGAGGAGGCATGTGGGAGGAGGCTCTCAGCTGGGGCAAGGTGAACTGGCTCAGTTGGCAGGATGAGGGCTCTGGCTGGGAGTTGCAGGCTCTGGGGTGAGGATGAGGATGAAGAGTTTGGGTGCAGGAGGGTGCTTTGAGCTGGAACTGAGGGGCTGGGAGGGTGCAAGAGGGGATCAGGCTGGAGCAGGGGGGTGGGAATTGGGAGGGTGAGAGTGTAGGCTATGTGTAGACTTCCAGGTGCAGGCTGCAATACAAATTCTGGAACCCTTCCACCTCAAAAGACCTGGATCCTGAGGGTTGCATTGCAGGGATCATGCAGAAAGTGCGGGCTATTTGCTCCTCTGCAAAGATCCGTAGAGGTGAACTTTGCAACATGCCAGCTTCTGATCAGAAGATCTTATTTGGACTAAAAACAAACTCTCTTATTGCAACGCCAAACACAAGCTTATCCTTACACTGTTTGGTATTGAAATAAAAGAGATACAGTGGCATTACTGCCATTTTCCTCAGGCTGGATTTGTGTCCTTTGGATGCTGACACTGTAACCTCAAAATAGCAGCAATGCAGCATTGCCGGTCAGGGATGAGAGGAAAGGGGGCAGATGCCCTGGGGCCTGAGGATTTAAAAGGGCCCAGGATTCCAGGGCACTGTCAGCACTACTGCAGCAACAGCCAGAGCCCTGGGTTCTGCTGAGGGCCGGGGGAGGAGCAGTGCGCTCCGGGTGGAGGTGAGAGCTGGCTGGGGGAGGAGCGGTGCGCTCCGGGTGGCGCTGGGGGAGGAGCGGTGCGCTCCGGGTAGCGCTGGGGGAGGAGCGGTGTGCTCCGGATGGTGCTGGGGGCTGGCTGGGGGAGGAGCAGTGCGCTCCGGGT